GGGCGACGGGACCATGGAATCTCAGGGGCGGGGCCAGAGCAGGTGTGGGCGGGGCCATTCGAGGTCCAGACCCTGCAGGCCTCGCTGTGGGTGGGGCTGGCTTTGGGTGGGTGGGGCTTGCAACCAGTTTGAGACAGGCAAGGCCCGAGGTGGAGGTGCGAGGTGCGAGGGGCTGCAGGAAAGGAAGGCAGACCACGGGTGGGCCCACCAGGCTTACGTGTCCAGCGGGCTGTTGAAGCGGTAGATTTCCTCCTCGCTGTAGTCCCGGAGGCTCTCCAGAGTAGGCCCGCCGCCCACCACCTTCAGTACGTATCTGCGGGGAACACGGTGCACAGGGACCGACCTGGGGTCTCCAATCCTGCACCCCTCCCCGGCCCGAGTCCCCTGGGTTCCATGCAAGGCAGGTCGGCCTCGCCTTTACCTGCCCTTGAAACTGCCGGAGTCGCCCGTCACCAAATCTTGAATCAAGAAGAAAGGGTAGAACTCTGTGGGGTCGGAGTGCAGAGAGACCAGGAGGAGAGGAAATGAGCTTGGTCAGAGAACCAGAAGACGAAGAGGGGCAGGAGGAGAGATGACCAAAGCTTGGAGCAGAGCAATGTGGACCCCATAGGGCGGCGAAGTGGGGGGCCCAGGGGACAGCAAACTCCGGGAGGAAGGGACCCGACACACACTGTCACGGAAGAGAAAGCAGGGCATCTCAGGGTCCGGGTGCACGCAGTCAAAGTATTGTTTGTTGAGCAGGCGGTTGTATTCCAGCGTGTAGGTGACGTCAAAGGCCAGGCGCTTGCCTGGTGGGCAGCCGATAAACACTGGCAGCATTAGGTTGCCCTGGGCAAGAGAAAAACCCAGTGCTGGGGGGGGCAGGAAGAACACTGTCCCTTCAACATACACCGCCCACCTGCTTGGCGCACCCTCACAATTACGTGTGTGCGCACGAAGCGCTGGGAATTGAACCTAGGGTCTCGGCACTGAGCTATATCCCCAGCCGTTTTTTATTTTGGTACCGGGGATTGAACTCGGGTCCTTGCACTTGTGCAGAAGGCAGCAAAACCACTGAGCTAAATCCCGGGCCCCATTTTTGTTATATTTTATGACAAGGTCTCACTAAATTGCTCAGACTAGCCTCCAACTTGTGTTCTTCCTGCCTCAACCTCCCAAGTAGCTGGGATTACAGTCACATGCCGCCACCCTGGGCAAACTATACAGTTATTACAAGTAGAAGGAGAGGAAGGGGAAGAGAAAGGAAAATCAAAAGAATTACAGATGTGTCATGTACACGCACCAACTCCCTGCAATAAATGTAATCATTACATATGGTAAACATGTAATAAAAAAAATGTTCTTTTGAAAGAGGGTCTTGCTTTGTAGTTCAGACTGGCCTTAAATTTGCTAGGTAGCCCAGGCTGGTCTCAAACTCACAGAGATCTTCCTTCTTCAGCCTCCTGAGTGCTGGAATTGCAGGCATGTGCCACCATACCCAGCACTAAACATTTTTTTAATTGAAACAAAAAAAGTACAACTATACTTGTAATAGCTGCCAACATTTATGTAGTTCTTCCTGTGAACAAGACACTGGGTGACATTTTGAGAGCTTCACATACTTGCGGCAGGGCATGGTGGTGCACACCTGTAATCTCAAAACTCTGGGAAGCTGGAGCAAGAGGATCAAAAGCTTGAGGCCAGACTGGTGACTTAGCGAGACCCTGTCTCAAAAGTGGGGAGAGGGTACATGGGTAGGGACATGGCTCAGCGTGAAAGCTCTGGGCTCAATTCCTAGTACCAGGAAAACAAAACAAAACAGTTTTACATATTCAAAGTCACTTAAAACTCACAGAGGCCAGTATGGTAGACTATTAATGTCCTCATTTTAGAAATGGCAAAGTGAGGCACAGCGAGCTCAAGCAATTTATTAATTATCTAAAGCTACGCAGCTGGTAAGTGATAGAGTTGGGATTGGAAGGTCAGGTTGGCTCCAGATGCCTCTAGCATGTAACATGTAAAGCAGCTGACATCTCCTAATAGCCTAGGAGCACCAGCTCCTAGTCATGCTTTGCAGGTCTGAGCTTGGGCTTCAGTTCTCCAATAATAGGCCAGTGGGAGCATGTAATATATGAGGAAATGGCACCCAGGATAACTCTCCACGACACTGCCTTCAGAACAAAGAGTCCCTGGACCCATCTGGGAACAGGGTACAAGCATTTGCCCAAGAGGCAAAGGGACATGGACATCCCCTGGGCTTGATGGCAGCTAAGGAGAGGAGCTGGTAGCTATACAGTAAGCACTCTCAGGCCAGCCCTGGACTAAAGACTTTATACCCATCATCAGCCCCTCTCTACCTGGGAGATCTAATGGGCACTGAGATGCAGCATATCTAGGACCTGTCTTGGTTAATGGTACTTCCATCCCTCCAAGCTGCTCAGGCTAAAAGCCTTGGTTCCATCCTTGAAACCTCTCTCTCTTTCATACCCACATCCAATCCATCCTGTTGTTAACAGATCCAGAGGGCTGGGCTGTAGTAAAGCACATCTTTAGCATGCATAGTTCAATCCCCAGTCTCACACACACACACACACACACACACACATACACACACAGAATCCTCTCTCCCAACCTCCAGTTCTGTTGTCCCTACCCTCATCTTGTCCAACCTTATCTCCTTCCTGATCTTTCTGTTTCCATTCCCCCAAGTCTGTGCCTCCCTGCAGGGAACCAGATGGCCCCTGTGAGCACATAAGTCCCTCTTCTGCTCAGAGTCCACCTGTGAAGCCACCTCACTCTGAGTGGCCCCCAGGACGAGCCCCCATCCCTGCTCTGACCCTGTCTCTCTCTACTGTCCTTCTTGGCCACCCTGACTCAGCCATGCTTGCTCCAAATGACTTTAGTCCAACACCCAAATCTCACATAACCCAAGGAGTGGGGCTATTACAACCTGCCTTCTACTGCTTGGCCCATTTCAAGCCAAGAAGGAGGAGCCCCGCAGTGTGTCAGTGGGTGAGTGTGCAAGGAAGTGGGGGAGAACAACTCCTTCTGCTACTACTTATGAGCCCCTGGTGAAGAACCAAAAACCCAAAGGAGCCGACAAAGAACATGGAAATGAAAATGAAGAGCAGAGTGTAAACTGGGTGTGGTAGTGCAGGCCTGTAATTCCAGCACTTTGAGAGGCTGAGGCAGGAGAATGACAAGTTCCAATCCAGCCTGGGCAATTTAGTAACTGACTGAGACACTGTCTCAAAATAAAAATTGAGCCAGGCATGGTGGTGTACTCGTGTAATCCCAGTACTCTGGAGGCTGATGCAAGGGGATCGCCACGAATTCAAGCCCAGCCTGGGCTATATAGTGAGTTCAAGGCCACCTCGAACTACAGTATATAAGGAGGTTTGCCTCAAAAAAAAAAAAAAAAAATGGAAAGAGAAAAAGAAAAGGGAAAGCAAAAGAACAAGGCTGAGTGTTAGGGCCCTGGGTGCAATCCCAAGAACTGAAAAACAGAAGTGTGGAAAGGGAAGCTGAGCTGGCCACATGCCATCTTTGTGCCAACTGGACTGGAAAAGAAGCCCTGTTTCTCAGATGCTTTACTTCCTTCTGCAGCAAAGTACCCAAAGGAACATACACGAACAGACAAGCTTGTGTGCAACCTACACATCTGTGATGTCAGCCCTTTCTAAAAACATGAATGGAGCAAAGGAGCAAGTGGGTAGGTGGATGAATGCTGAAGATGAATGGGGAGGCAGGAAATTAGGCATGCATTTGTGGGACTCCTGGGAGAACACTGGGAATCAGCCTGGGGAGCCCTGGCCCAACCCCTCCCATCCCAGCACAGGGCCCAGTATCCCAAGCTCCAATACTTGCATGCGGAGCCCAAAGTGGGTGCTCTGGAAACAGTGCCCAGAAGACCCCTGCACCTGCAGGTAGAATCAGGGAATGATGGTGGTCCCCACAGGCCCAGGGTTTCCCCTCATCCCGTGTCCCTCCCCTCCAGGCTTGGACCACACCTTGACCATCACGGAAGTCTTCATGAGGTGATGTCCACTAATGCCCTGGTCATAGCAAAGCTCTTTATCCCTGAGCGTAATCTGGAGTGAGAGAATAGGAGAGGCAGAAATAAGAGGTAGACAGGTCCAAGGCCCCAGAGAGGGTGCCAATACTCCATAGCCAGGGTGGGGTGGGAACCAGTAGAATCCTGGGTTTCCATTTCCCACTCGGAAGAATAGACAAACAGTTCCCAGGACCCCAAGAACTCGGTACCCACTTTGTGATGGTTTTTGAGACAGGGTCTCACTTTGTAGTTCAGGCTGGCCTTGAACTCACTATGTAGCCCAGCCTGGTCTCAAACTCTCAATGATCCTTCTGCCTCAGCCCTTCCAGTGCGGAGATTGCAGGCCTACACCACTACTACCAGCTCCGTGCACACCTTGACAACTCTCCCAGCCTTACCAAGAATTGCACCGAGTTTCGAAGAACAGTGGCCTCCTGGTTCGCAAAGGCCTCGATGCAGTGGGGATCAGCCAGCAGAAAACCCACTGCCAGCTTGCGCTGCACCAGGAAGGCGGAGCCTGGGCGGGGCAGAGGACGGGGTTAAGGCCCCACCCCTCGGAGGGTGCCCAGGTCCCCGACCCTTCCTGAAGCAGGCCCTCCGTGCGGGCCCCGCCCACAGACCCTCTTTAGAGCGCATCTTTAAGGAGAACCGGTAGGAGTTGCCCTTGTCCAGGAAAATGAACTGGGGCAGCTGGTATTCGGACTTGAGGTTGTAGATCTTTTCGTAGCTGGCCATGTCAATGTGCACACCGCCCGCACTCAGCCAGTTTCTCTCCAGGTATAAGTAGTAATCCTGGCAGACGCAAGGCACCAGGCAGAGTCAGTGCGGGTTTGTGGGGGGGCTGCCTAGGCACCTCCTGCCCCAACTTTCAACCTTCTCCACACACCTGGTCTTGTTTCTTGTTTTTCCACCAGCGCCAGGTAGGGTCGTGCACCGGGTCCGCATACGGCTGCAGGGACCAAAGGAATGAAGAGGCGGGATGAAAGACCCTAGGAGAGTGGCAGCTCCAGATCCCCCCATCCCAGGTTCCAGCCCATAACCCAAAGCAGATAGTATCTATCCAGCCAGTACCTAAACCCAGGCCTTTCTTTTTCTTTTTTGGTACTGGGGATCAAACTTGGGTCCTTGCACTTGCGCAGCAGGCGGCAAAACTACTGAGCTAAATCCCCGGCCCTTTTCCTAGATGATCTTTCTTTTTTTGGGGGGGGCCTTTCTTTTTCAGCACTGAACGTTGAACCCAGGGCCTTCGAACTAAGCAACACCCACATGTCCCTGCCCCTCATCATTTTTTTTTTTTCTTTTAAGATCTCGGGGCTGGGGATTTAGCTCAGTGGCACCGCTGCCTCGCAAACACACAGTCATGAGTTCGAACCCCAGTGCCAAAAAAAAAAGAGTCTTAGTAAATTGCTAGATTGCCTGGGGTGGGTTCTAATTCGCAATCCTCCTGCTGCCTCAGTTTTTTAGACTGTTGCAGTAACAGGGCCAGGATTTAGCTCAGTGGTTCTGGCGCCTGCCTCGCAAGTGTAAGGTCCCGAGTTTGATCCCCAGTACCAGAAAAGAATAACAGGCTTGTACCACCACACCTGGCAACTAAACCCAACTTCTGCTAGCTGCACCCCAAAATCACTCTTCACAGTCCTGCTCAAAGCAGCTCTGCCTCCACCCCCACCCCAAATCCTGGAATTTCGGTCTTCAATTCTGCTGTATAGGTTGGTTCCCCTCTGCCAGGTGTCAGACACTATGGGGAGCTCACCTTGTTGTACTTGGAGTGCAGCCAGAGCAGGTAGTAGAGGAGGCCCTGGTAGACAGCGAGCGAGTTCTTGCTGTGGAAGCCCGAGCTCTCCAGGACCTGTGGTGGCCTGGCCCGGTAGCGCTCCTCGCGCGTGTAGGCCTGCGGGTTGGGCAGGTTCAGCAGGCTCAGCATGGTGAAGGGGCACTGGTTGGTGAAGGACAGCACCGGGCGGCCCCTGCACAGCGGCAATGGGGGCAGCAGCTGACGAGTGTGCCCGCTGGCACCCCGAGAGCCTCCCAGGCCTCACCCCCACCTTCCTGATATTGGCTCCCCAAATCTAGTCGGGCCGTGTGCTTCAGCCCCTCTTGCCGGTGCACCCTCGACTTACCCCTTGGCTGTCCTGGCTCCTCAGAGCATAGCCCCTGTCTTCCACAGCGCATCCCCAAAGCCCTCCACTTGGCATTTGTTTGGTGCAGTGTGGTGTGGTGTGGTGTGTGTGTTCACTAGGGACTGAACCCAGGTCCATCACGCTGAGCTAAGTTCCCAGCCTTTTTTTCTTTTCTCATTGTGAGACAGGATCTCCTTAAATTACTCAAGCTGCCCTTGAGCTTTTTTTTTTTTTGAGATAGGGTCATGCTATGTAGTTCAGAATAGACTTGACGTCACTATGTAGTCCAGGCCTCAAGGCAATCTTCCTGCCTCAGCCTCCTGAGTGCTGGGAGTACAGGCATACCACACCATGCTGTGCTTTTTTTTTTTTTTAATTTTAGATAGGGTCTCCCTGTAGAGTTCAGGATGGCCTTGAACTATGTAGCCCAGACTGGACTTGAACCTTCAGCCATCTTCCTGCCTCAGCCTCCCAAGTGCTGGGATTACAAGTGTGTACCAGAACACCTGGCTAATTTGTGATTCTGTTTGTTTTTTCTTAACTTGTGATTCTTCAACGCCCATTCTCCTTTCTTCCTCAGCACATTTCTTCCCCACCCCTGCCCAGAATACCAGTCCACACCTTCCCGCCTGGCTAATTTTCCTCACCCTTCAGGTTCCAGCTCTGACACCTCCTCCTTGACGCCCTCCCTGATGCGCCCTCCCTCTAGCCTGGGTCTGGGCCCTTTGAGCTTCACAGGTGCTGAGCTCCCCCATTCCAGCCTGGAGGTGCCGCTCCTACAGATGGAGCTTTTGGGGCCACCTGCGTGGTTCCTATCTTCTTACCCCTGCTGCTCTAAGCGGTAGTGGCTCTGCTGCTCGTACAGCAGCAGCTTCTCCACAGGCACGAGCCTCTTGACCAGGCGACCCTGCCCGTGGCCCATGAGGTACACCAGCTGCCGGAGGAAGGCAATCAGTGAGGTGCCGCCAGTTCCCTGCGGCGAGCGCCCCCTCGTGGCCCCGCAGCACCCGCCCCGCACCTGGTACAGCTCCCTGTCTTCATAGAAGAAGGTGACCGTGGTCTCGTTGGCGGCATAGAGGGAGGACTGTTGCAGCATCTGCAGACTGAAGTGGATGCTCCAGCCCCGGGACGGGAACAGCCGGTACAAGCGATAATTGCCCTCCAGGAGGTACCAGATCTGTGGGGCAATGGGCTGTGTGTCTGGACAGTGGGGACCTCCAGCCACATCCTCCCTCTGCCCAGGGTGTGAGCCCTGAGGTTTGGAGTGCACTCCAGGTGGGACTAGGTGGGCTCCATGCGTCTCTGCAGTGCCATCTCTCCACTTGCCCCAGCCCTGCCACTTCAGGTTCCCGCCCCCATGCCAGAACATTTGTTTTTGAGACACAGTCTCGCTATGAAGCCCAGGCTGGCCTTGAACTCACAGCAATCCTCCTGCCACAGCCTCTTGGTGTTGTGTAACTTTGACAAAGATTTTTACCCTTTCTGAATTCCAAGGTTCTGTTACAGATGGAGCTTCTGATGCCCTTTTCTGGGGTCCCCAAAGGTGCCCCTCCAGCCCCTTTACCCTGATGGGGAGGAGGGTTGGGGTTGAGCAGAGAGGGAGTGGGGAGTGAGGAGTGGGGCAGGGCAACCCACCTCTTCCGTCTCCGTGATAATAGCGATGTCCCCACCAAATGAGTTGACCAGGTATTTGATGCTCAAGTCTTTGGGGAAACCCGCCAGGTAGGTGTAGTTTTCAGCATTGTAGCTACAAAGGGCAGAGATGGGGAGCTCAGAGCACGGGGACAGCCAGGCATCCCGAATACCTGCTCCCTCAGAACCAGGCCTAATACAACACAGGGCCCACTGACCAGTTCCCTGCTACCTTGTGAGCCAGTGCAAAGGGACCTGGACTCCTAGCTTCTGCCCCGACCCCACACCCCCGGTGACCTTCTGCCACCAGGGATCCCCATCTGTAGGATAGATGCAGTTTGCTGTCCAGCATGGAAATGATGAGAAAGTAGGAAGGGCCCTAAACTGTCCTCAGAAAATGCACTTCTACTGCTCACCTAGCTTGGGTCCTTACATAAAGTTTCTTTTTTGTTTATTTCTTTATTGAGACAGGGTCTCAGTATGTGCATAGTTCAGGCTTGCCTTGAATTCACTATGCAGTCCAGGCTGGCTTTGAATTTGCAGCAAACCTGCCTCAGCCTCCCAATTGCTGGGATTACTGGCCTGTGCCATGATACCCAGCCACACAAAGTTCCATTTTAAGAAAGACTCCTAGGCAAGGCACCACATGCCTATAATCCTAGCACTCTGGGAGGTTGAGGCAGGAGGACCACAAGTTCTATCCCTGCCTGTGAAACTTAGCAAGACCTTGTCTCAAAATTAAAAAAATAAAGATAAAAAGGGCTGGGGATGTAACTCAGTGCAAAGGCTCTAGGTTTAAGAGCCCCAGCACCACAAAGTAAAAATAAATATTTAAATATATATCTATTTCCCCCATCCTATCCCTGACTACCCCAATCCACAGTTCCCCACTCTCAGTCCTGACACAGTAAGGGCCTCTGCTGAAGGCTTGGTGACTTCTGAAAGCCCCACACACAGTGGGGCTGGGAGTCACACTCTGCCTGGGTCACCCAGGGTGGGGGGCTGCCCACCTCTGCAGGAGGAAGTTGCCCCAGATGAACAGCATGTTGTTGTAGGTGTTGAAGAACAGGCCCTTGGGCACCATGGGGGAGCTGGTGTACATCTCTGTGCCTACCATCATCAGGTACTCCAAGCCCTGAGCTGAATGGAGCAAAGGAGAGAATACAGCAGAGAAATAGGGTCTCCAGGGCCCCTCCTGGCCCCTACCTGCTTTGAAAGCCACCCCTGCCTTGTCCTCTTACCATCAGGGATGAAATCTGGGATGATGTAGAGGTCTTCCGTGTCGTCACTGACTTCGGGTAACAACACAGCCGCTTTCAAAACCTGAAGCTAGGGCTATTGGCCCCCTGTATCTCCCAAAACCCTCTCCAAAGCTTCCCATTTGGGCCAGAATTCCTTGAGGTGAATTCTAAAAATATATTGCCTCTGAGAGGATGAAGTCCAATGAAGGCATGAGACTTATCTCCTCTGACCCCCTGACTGTGGGGTCTTATGCATCTGGTAGCCTGGTTCTACTGGAGGTGAAGTGAAATCAAATCTACTTTTCGTGAGCTGTACAACCTTTCTGGATCTGGCTCTGGTCACCTCTTCAATCTCACTCCCTGTCCTCTTCTTTTGGTTCCAACCACATGGACACTCAGTTTCTCGAGCCCACCAGAGCTTCTACTCTATTCTCCACTCTACTACCCCCTTTTTCTCCCACCCACCCTCTGTACTGGGGATTGAACCCTGGGTCTTCATTCCAGCCCTTTTTTTGTTTTTTATCTTGAGACAGGGTAGGTAAATTGCCCAGGTGGAATTTGCAATTCTCCTGCCTCGCCTCCTTCAGTGCTTGCATTACAAGCACGCCACAACATTCAGCTTCTACCTCCTTATCGAAGGGTGATTTGAGCAGCCTCCCCTCCCCTGCCTGCTAGGCCGACCTCCCTCTGGGTCACCCGGCCCCCTATCGCCTTGGTTACTCAGGCTGTAGCGGAGCACTCGGAAAGACTTGGCGTTTAAGTCCTCGACCTCCACCAGCAGCAGGAGGATGTACTCTCCCGAGACGAACACGGCCCATATAATGGAGCAGTTGCCGACTGAGGATGGAGGGTGGGTCCACAGCAGCCCGGGACGCAGCCACGCAGCCACGGGGGGCTCATCCTGAGACAGCCCCCACCCCCAACCCCACGCGCTCCACCCCTCCCAGGCACCACCCATTGGTTCCCAGGAGCAACCCCCCCCAGCCCCTTTCCCACTTCCACAGCCCCTCCCCAGAGCCCCCCTCCCCCACCATCCTCCCTCCACCCTGCAGACCCACAGTAGGGCGGTAGGGCGGGAGGGTGAAGTACCCAAGATCTGCTCGCATACGGACCGGCCCTTGGGCAGCATCTCGAAGGACACACGGCCATCTGGAGAGCGAGAGCTAGCTCAGGCCCTTCCCACCCTGCTGCACCCAACCCCCTCCCAGCTCCCCAGGATGTCCTCCCCGTGCCTTGGCCCTCCATCCTGTGTGCTGGGACCTCACGTACACTGTCCCAGGAGTGTGCCTCCTGGCACAGTCATGCGCTCAGGTCTGCTTGGGCCTGAGTTAGAATTAGTGCGAAGAGGCTGCTCCCATTCTGGCCTCCAGCCCCCAGCGCCCCCTCCTTACTGAGGATTGAGCCCAGGGCCTTTGCACTGAGCTCCATCCCCCAGCTCCTTTTGTTATACTTTTATTTGGAGACAGGGACTTGCTCAGTGGCTATATTGCCCAGGTGCGGCTTGAACTTGCAATCCTTCTGCCTCACCCTCCCAGAATTCTGGGGTTACAAGCTTGCACCACCATCATTAAACACCACAAGGAGTCTACTTCAAAATGAAGCCAAATCATAGGGCAGATAATAACCCCTAATAGTGCCCCCCATGCCCCTGACACAGTTTTAAAACTGTTACAGAACAACTTATTTTACCTTTATATCAGTCCACAAAAGTAGGTGCTATTATTCTCATTCAGCCCCATTTTGTAAAGAGGGGAAAAGAGCTCAGTGAAGTCAAGTCAGCCATCTAAAGCCGCACAGCTAGGGTGTGATGGGCAGTCTCTCTCCAGAATCTGCCACAGTAAGTTACTATGCTATGCTACTTTGTCCAGAGATGGAATCTGATGCACACATATCCTGTAGGCCCCTGGATCCAGCCACTCCTGAAGCTGACACCTGGCCTTTTCATTTTTAAAATCCCTGAATACTTTGTGCTTAAAGGATTTTTTTTAAAAAATTGGGCTTCTGCGTTTGGTAACCAAACATGTAGTAAAAGATATATAGCACCCCCAAGCCTTACCTCTATAAACAAATAACTGCATTAACACACACACACACACACACACACACACACACACACAACCCCCAGGCTGGGACACTTGCTGAGGGCACATGGTTTGGAATGAGAGGTCTGGAGGGCCCTCGGGTTCCCTTACCGGTAATGGTCCCAAAGTGCAAATAGCCCTCATGCTTCCCTGTGGGGAGGGCCATGATGTACTCAGAGCCGTTGCTGTGCAAAAGCACAGGACACAGCCTCTTGATGCACTCGGTGGCCAGGACCCGAACCCAGCTGCCTGGTGGAGAGGCAGCATGGGGCCTCAGGCCTGGTTGGCAAGACCTGTGCCTGGGCCCCTGTCCTCATCCCCCTGGCCTTAGGGTGCTCATGTGCTGTCCCTCGGGGTGGTGTCTGGTGACCCTGGGCAGTGGCAGCAGCTGCTTTCAAGAAAAGTCCCCTTCGTTGTCCTCTGTCCCTGAGGTCAAGCTGGTGCGGGCCCCTCTCTCACTGCCCTGGCCCCAGGCTAGGCCCTCCAGGGCTCCCCTGGCCTGAGGTGGTCCTCACCACTGCTGTGGCTGCGGTCGTAGAGCGTGGCATAGGTGCCTGTGAAATAGTAGACGAGCTGGTTCTGCCGAATGAAGACGGTGCTCTCCGTAGAGATGGCATCATAGATGGTGGCCGAGAAGCCAGCCTGGGGGCAGTAGAAGGAGCCTACCCAGCAACTGTCAATGCTCAGCTGTGGAGGAGCAGAGGTCCTGGTGAGCAGGGGACCTGGACGTCAGGCTCCATCACCGGCCTGGGAGCCCTCCTGCTCTAACCACCTGGGATGGAGGGACACAGGTAACAGCTTCACGTGCTCTCCCTGCCCACCTGAAACTGCACCTTGGTGGCTAAAGTTCCCCAACATGGCCCAGGGAAGCAGACATCCAAGACATCAGCCAGCTGGGCATTCTGGGCTCCTTGGAGTTGAGCAGTGGATAGCATGCTCAACGGCACTCAACAGTCCCTGTGCCCCTGGGAACAAATACAAAATATCCCATGCCTGGCTCAAGGATCATGTAGACAGTTCTAGTCTACCATGAACCCACTTTGCTGTCGGCTTGACACCACCTGAATCCAGTGGCCAGTTACTAATACTGACAACGTCCCAAACAGTGACAACACCACCGAACCAGGGTTCTTGCCAATAAGACAGAATCTAAATGAAGTTTCTAGAATTCACTACCAATTGATAGGTATATGAATGATGTGCACTGAACCATGCACCCCCAAGTTCATGTGTTGAAACCCAACATGAAGGTATTTGGAGACAGAGTTTTTAGGAGGTAATTAAGATTCAACGAAGTGGGCCGGAATTTAGCTTGTGATGCCACTGCCTGCCTTACAAGCACAAGGTCCTGAGTTCTATCCTCAGTACCAAAAAATAAAAAAATAGATTCAATGAGGTGCTGGGTGTGTGTGTGGGGGGGGGCATGTACCTGTGATTCCAGCACTTGGGAGGCTGAGGCAGGGGATCAAAGCAAGTTTGAGGCCAACCTGGGCTATATAGTGAGTACAAGTCTAGCCTGAACTACATAGTGAGACCCTGTCCCCTCACCCTAGTTATTTTATTTATTTATTTTTGAGACAGTGTCGCCCTATGTAATTCAGGCTAGCCTATAAGCCCAGCCCCCAGGACGCTAAGGCAGGAGGGTCACAGAGTTCAAGGCTAGCCTGAACCACATAGTGAGACTTTGTCTCAAAAACAAACTAACAAACTTCTGGGAAGATGGGAGAGTGGTGAACAGCAGACAACACACTTTCTGAGATTTGGTGTCCAGATGCTGGAATATAGCAGGAAGTGAGAAAGAGAAGGAGGAGGGAAGTGGGTCCCCTGGACCCAGCAAGGATCTAAAGCGAGAATTGAAGCCTACAGAGATTGAAGAGAGAGATCTCAATGCAGGAGGAGGTGGCAAGCAACACTTTCTCCCCAAGCCCTGATTCACCAAGTGGAAGGGGCAGATGAAGATGAGCTGAAGATGAACAGTGACTACTGGTGAGTCTCCAGTAGGCCTCCACAGAGAAACACACCAGTGGAACAGAGCAGTGGATAGTGAGAACCTCAGGGGCTGAAGAGTTATCTGGGTTCAGACATCCCACAGGAGAGGGTGATTGGCTGGTAGCCATCTTGGAGAGGGGCCAACTGAGCTCAGAACTCAGAGCAGCTTTAGGCCGGCTCCATCTAGCAGCTCATAGTGGCAGGGTGAAGTACTTCATATCTGCAGGAGGTCAAGGAGCTACATTCAAGCTGGCAAGAAGTACATAGAGTGTTGCAGGCTACAGGGGTAGACTCACAGCCAGAAACTAGCCTGAACTTCATGGAACTAAAGGTGCAGGCTTGCTGGGATTATCCACTACACTACTGTCAATCTACGTTGGCCTGCCAGGATTAATCAACATAGATCTGGGCTCTGTCTGTCCACTCTGTCTACCAGTGATAGCATATTTCTGTCTACCAGAGACATGCCCTGAAGTGGACATTTTTTTTCTTCTTTTTTATTTTCTTTTTTCTTCATTGTTTGTTCTCCTTTTTCTATGTGTGAACATTGTTTCTAGTTTTCTTGTTGTTCTGTTCTGTTTTTGTTTTCATTTCTTCCTTCTCTCTCCCTCCTGTCTTCACCAGTTTCCCAAAGTTCGCATAATCTTCCTTCGTCCTCCAGCCTTGGTTCTACAACTCTTTTTTTTGGTACCAGGTATTAAACTCGGGTCCTTGTGCTTTTGAGACAGGCAGCAGAACCACTGAGCTAAATCCCTGGCCCTAGCCTTGGTTCTAATCTCTTCCTCTTTTTCTATTTCTCTATTTTCCCCCAATCCCTTTTAAATTTTCTCCATTGAGGGTAAAAGGGCATATTTACTGTATATAATTTTCTGGTTTGTTTTAGATTTTTGTTATATAACCACAAATATAGTTCATACAGTTAAAGGTGGCAAATTAATAGTTACCACAGTTTGTCATTCTCTAGGCTGTGTTTGATGCTATTGTTACTGCTAATTAGAGACCCAATCCAAAAATGGGGATCTGAAATGAATAGACACTTCTCAGATGAAGAAGTAGAAATGTCAAATAAATATATGAAAAAATGTTCAACATCACTGGTCATTCAAGAGATTCAAATTAAAACAACACTGAGGGGGCCAGGGATTTAATTCAGTGGTTTCACCGCCTGTTGCGCAAGCGCCAGGACCCAAGTTTGATCCCCCGTACCAAAAAAAGGAAAAAAGAAAAAAAAAAGTTACTTCCTTTTGGGCCGGGGATTTAGCTCAGTGGTTCCGCTGCCTGCCTCTCAAGCTAAGGACCCAAGTTCGATCCCCAGTACCAAAAACCAAAAAACAAAAACAAAACACTGAGATTCCATCTCACTCTGGAAAGTCTGGCTATTATCAAGATATCAACCAATAACAAACACTGGCAGGGATGTGGGGAGAAAGGAACCCTTCTCCACTGTTGGTGGGAGTGTAGACTGGTGCAACCACTGTGGAAATCAGTGTGGAGATTCCTCAAAAAACTAAAACTAAAGGGCTGGGGATTTAGCTCAGTGGTTTTGCCATCTACTGTGCAAGCGCAATGACCCAAGTTCCATCCCCAGTACAAAAAGAAAAACAACCCTAAAACTAGAGCTTCCATTTGACCCAGATATTTCCCTTCTTGATATCTTCCCGAAAGAATTAAAAGCATCATACCTCAGAGATATATGTTCACCCATGTTTATAGTGGCAGTTTTTTGGTTTTGGGGGTTTAGACAGGGTCTTGCTATATAGCTCAGGCTGGCCTCAAACTCACTATGTGGCCCACCCAGGCTGGCTTCCAACTCATGATGATCCTCCTGCCTCAGCCTCCAGAGTGCTGGGATTACAGGCGTGCACCACCATGCCCAGCTGTATAGCGGCACAGTTTATAATAGCTAAATCTTGGAAACAGCTCAAATGCCCATCAACTGATGAGTGGATAAAGAAGAGATGGGAATTTTTATATGATGGAGTACTACTCTGCCATAAAGAAGGATGAGCTTGAGACATTTCTAGCTAAATGGATGCACCTTGAAACCATACTCTTAAGTGAAATAAATAAGACACACATGTATAAATACCAAATAGTTTCTCTGGTGTGAGAAACTGAAAGTGTAAATAAGGACCAAAATGTGTAACAGGTATTAGGAAATGGGAAGAAAATGCTCAAATGGGAAGGGGAACAGGGGAGGGGGGAGGGAGGAAGGGATGAGAAAAAAGAATAGAAGGAAAACATGGAAACAAAGCTTTTATAAATAAGGAGGGGAAGAGGGATTGAAGGGAGGGGGGAATGGAAAAAAAAGAAGAGGCAAGATATATCATGTACAGGTACAAACTTCCTATGATGAATGTTATCATTCTGTATATCTAAAATGTACCAATAAAAACAAACAGAAATAAGCAGTGTACTGGGTTCCCCCGATATAATGATTCCTTCAGGGTGGGCACATGGTCTGAACACACTGAGTGGGACCTGGGGGTTATAAGGGAAACATCTTTCCCACCGTCTGTGTTCTGAAAGATGCAACCTTGCGATCTTCTCTTTCAGAAGGCAGAAGTGTTTTTGAGCAAAAAATTCATATTGAGAAATCCAATCTAAGATATGGAGAGAGAAACCCAGTCTTGGTGACACTGTTAAAAATTCTGGGTCAAAGCCGGCTGTGGTGGTGAAGGCCTGTACTCCCAGCACCCTCCCCTTTTCCACTTTTAAAAAAAATGAGGTCTTGCTTGGGTTGGCCACACTGGCCATGAGCTCCTGCCTTAGGCAATCCTCCTGCCTCAGCCTCTGGTGTAGCTGGGAGCACAAGTCCATACCACCATGTCCAGGTTCCTTCTCCAATTAGTGCAGATGGTTCTTTGAGCTCCCAAATCCATGACCCCATCTTCCTTGGTGACAGAAGTTAGTCCAGCACATGGCACACTGACTTCCATGCGGCTACATGGAGCAAGTGACCAATTCCTCCCGAATGGAGCATCAGTGCAATTTCCTCTAAGAGTGCACTGCATCCACCAGGCAAACCTGTGACCTGCACTGACTCATTCAAACCCACCCAGAGCCAAAGAAGCTTCTGCTATGCTTGTTCCCTCCCCATTCTGAAACAACACAGAACCTGAAAGCCTGGGCTACATGGCCATAGCAATTCAGAAGTCTCTGGATGTGGAAGATGCTATGGCACATGCTGAGTATCGACAGTGAGCGCTATGAATGGCACAGTGGCAAATCTAAGTATCATTCCCATTTTACAGAATGGGAATCAGGCCCAGAAGGGTAAAGTGACTTGCTCAATTCAGGAAGTGGCAGAATTAAGATTTGAACCTAGGCCACTGGGGAGGCAGAGGTCCCTTCATGCTCCCTGGGGGACTGCTGTGCCTTTGGGTCCCATTCTGTAGCCCCAGACCCCGGCCCCAGATCCCTTGGCAGCCCCCGGGCCCCTGCTGGCCTGGTGTCACTCACCTCCACAAGAGAGAAGGTCTCAAAGTTGGTGTCAGTCAGCAGGATGGCCTTCTCATTGGGAATGCCACCCAGAATGAGCACCGGTGACTGGTCCAGAGTGTACCACAGGGGCCTTGAGGAGGCATTCACAAAGTACTGGGGTGTCAGGTCAAAAAGCTGCCAGGGGAGGCCACAGAGGCTGCTCAGTGCTCCCCAACCCTCCCATGGCTCTCTCTTATTTAAGGAAAAGCCAAAGTCCTCACCCAATTGCAAGGTCCCCCACAATTTCCCGTCATCTCCCTGACCTCATTCCCTACCACTCAGCCCAGCCCTGTGGCCTCTGCCCTGCTTCTCAGATGCACCGGGCACAATGTAACCTCAGGGCCTTTGCACAGGCTATTCCCTCCACATGAATCTTGTATCTACATGACCCCTCTGACCTCCGAGGCTTTATTCGAGGGCAACTTACATGAAGCTTTCCTTGACTGTTTGGTTAAATGTAGCAGTCTCCTCCTGCACAGGCCCATCCCCCTCACCCTCTTTGGTTTCTCTCCAAACCACTTATCACATTTTTCTTTTCTTTTTTCAGAGTAGGTTTTATAAAGCTAGCACCTTCACACTGAACTATATCCCTAGCCTTTAAAAAAAAATTTTTTTTTGTAGTGCTGGGGATCGAACCCAGGACCTCAAGCGTGTTAGGCGAGAGCTCTACCACTAAGCTATATTTCTGCCCCTTTTTATTTTATTTTATTTTTTATTATTTTATATTTTTCATTTACTTATAAAACATCCTTTATAACAATATAAAAGAAAACTTCAAATTAACTCTAACCAAAGTGATCCAAACGTTATAGTAATCAGGCAAACCAAGGAAAAGCTAGCTCTGGGCCTTTTTAAAAAATTTTGACGCAGGGTCTCACTACATTGCTCAGGCTGGACTCAAACTTCGGTCCTCCTACTTCAGCCTCCCAGAGCCACCTTTTAATTTACAGTGAAGTGGACTTGGTTTTCATGTGGCCTGGTTTGGCGTCTGTCTCCCCTACTGAAAAGTCAGCTCTGCGAGGCAGGCCTTGGGGTCTGTGTGTTCACCGCTGTCCCCACGATGCCACAGCGCGCGCTCAGAAGTAATGAAAGAACGAACGACTGAATGTGTGAACAGCGATGAAGATGTGGTGTAGGAGGCCCGCAGATAAGAGCAGAGCCCCAGCTCGAGGCCCAGATGGCCCCACCACCAGGCCCCTCACCTCTGATCCCAGCGTGAACTTGATCGTGTTTTGCTGCTTCTTCAGGAAGCCGTTGATGTTCACGCGGAACCTGCGGCAGATACAGGCAGGCCCAGGGCGGGGTCCAGTTTCCGGCACAGCCCCCAGCCCGCTCCCCACACTCCCTCCCTTTGGTGTTCCCTGCTCCTTTGGAGACTGGGGGTGGGGGTGGGGTGACAGGCTCTCCTGCCCCCAGCCTGGGATTGGAGAAGGGCACCTTTTATTGGGAATGAAGGGCCCCAGGCCGTTGCTGGTGACCTCCACCTTCACGACCACGCTGCCGTTCTGGATGGGCATGGGCATGAACCAGCTCATGGAGCACACCTCCTCCGCCAGGCACGGCCCTGCTGGGATATGGCCCTGAGGAGCTGCCCAGCAGGTCCCCCTCCGGGGCTCCCTGGCCCGGCTCCCACCCACCTGGGTAGCGGAAGGGGGCCGCCTCCATCCTGATCTGTAGCTGCTCTATCTTCCAGCGGTAGAAGTTCACAGAGGACTGGAAGGTGACCAACACCAGGGGCTTCAGCCCCATCAGGTGGCCACTGCGGACCAGGTCCTCGGAGGGCTGAGGGTGAAATGGCCCCACAGGTGTGCCCTTAAGATGGCCTCTGGGTCACCACCGCCTCACCACCACCCCACAGTGGCCTATGAGAGCTGCTTCCGATGTGTGGAGCAGCAACAGAGTGCTCGGCACTGTCTCCCAGAGAAGGCAGGGGGGCTGGGAATGGGGGAACCAGGAGGAGAAATTTAACAGCTTCTGCCACCTTTGCCCAGCCCTGCATCTTGAGGAGCACTTTGGCCAGGGTCCTGTCCTTTCTCCTTCACTTGCTGTTGGCCCTGAGTCAATCTTTCCAGTCACAGGGAGCAGGCACTAGGCACTGGGGACGGCTCCCTGTACCGGCAACAGAGGCCACTGCCACCCTGGCCCTGTCCACCCCTGTCTCCTGCCTCCTCCCTGTCCTCCTGCTCCTGCCTGAGCCAGATCATACCATCCTCTGCTTGGAGCCTTCTCAGGGCTCCCTGTCACTCAGTCACCTAATAATGATTCCTGCCCTGTCCCCCCACCTTTCTGAAAAAACTGTCTTCCATGAAACAGGCCCCCAATACCAAAAAGGTTGGGGACGCCTGCTTTAAAATACACAACTCACAGAATGGGACAAAATATTTACAAATTATATATTTGATAAGGAGTTAGGAGTGAAATATAAAAAGAATTTTATAACAATAAAAAGACAAATAACCCAACTTAAAAATGGGCAAACAGGGCCAGGGATTTAGCTCAGTGGTTTTGCTGCCTGCTGTGCAAGCACAAGGACCTGAGTTCCATCCCCAGTACCAAAAAAAAAAAAAAAAAGGGCAAAGAAGCTGGGTATGGTGGTGTGTGCCTGTAATCTCAGCACTCAGGAGGCTGAGGCTGGAGGATTTTTCAAATTTAAGGCCAACCTGGGCTACATAGTGAATTCAAGGCCATCCTGAGCTACATATCAAGACACTATCTCAAAAAAAAAACCAACTAAAAATGGGCAAACTATCTGGATAGACCTTCCTCCAAGGGATGGAAATAAATGGATAAAAAGCACATTAAAAGATGTTCAACATCATTATAAGGGAAATACAAGTCAAAATCACTAAGTTATCACTGTGCACACTAAAAAGGTGGATAATAACAAGTGTTGGTGAGAATGTAGAGAAACTGGAACCCTCACACATTTCTGATGAATATAAAAAGAGGCAGCTTCTTTGGAACACAGTCTGGCACTCCTTTAAAAATTAAATGGGGGGCCAGGGATTTAGCTCAGTGGTATGGTGGCTGTCTGGCAAGCACAAGGTCCTGAGTTTGATTCCTGGTACCAGAAAAAAAAAATTAAATAGGGTTAGCATTTGACCTAACATTTCCACTCCTGGGAATATACCAAATACGAGTGAAAACATGTGTGTACACAAAAGCTTGTACTTAAATGTGTATAGCAGCATTATTTATAATACCCAAAAAGGTAGAAATAACCCAAATATCCACCAATTAATAATAGACAAACAAAATATAATATATCCATATAGTAGAACATTATTTAGTCATAAAAAGGAAGCATAAAAAGGACACATGCTACAACATAAATGAGCTTTGAAAACATGCTAAGTGAAAAGATACAAAAAAGTTACATATTGTAAGATTTCTATGTATATGACACCAGGTGTGGTGGTGCATGCCTGAAATTCCAGCATTCAGGAGGCTGAGGTAGAAAGATCATCACAAGTTCAAGGGCAGCCTGAATTACATACTGAAAACTTGTTTCAAAATAAAATACTATGTATGTGAGTCTGGCATGGTGGCATTTGTGAGGCTGAGGCAGGAGGATCACCATGAGTTTCAGGCCAGCCTGGCCTACATAGTGAGTCCAGGCCAGCCTGCACTACAAATCAAGACTTTGTCTCAAAAAACAAACAGCAAAAAAACACTAAAAAAAAAAAGGTTCTTTGTATATGAAACGTTCATAACAGGCAAAATTGTGGGGAAAGAAAGTAGATTAGTTTTCTCCAGGGGCTGGAGAGAAGAAGGGGGCTTGAAATGAGGAGTGTCTACTAGTGGGTACAGGGTTTATTTTAGAGATAATAAAAATATCATGCAATAAGATAGAGAGGATGGGGGCCGGGGATTTAGCTCAGTGGTTTCACCGTCTGCTGTGCAAGCGCAAGGACCCGAGTTCGATCCCCGGTACCAAAAAAAAAAAAACATAGAGAGATGATGGTTGTATACCTTTGTAAGTTTTACCAAAAAAGAATTGAATTATACATTTTTAAATGATCAACTGGAGGCTGGGAATGTAGCTCAGCGGTAAAGCACTTGCCTGGCATGCACCAGGACAGGTGAATGGGTTCTGTCAGTCTCAGTGGCCCCATCCATCCCTTTCCCCGGGGATCCAACCCAGGGCCTTAGCTATGGGTTCCATGCCCTGAGTTACATCCCCAGCAGCACAAAACAATGCAAAAGCTGAATGTTATTGTATGCGAGTTATTGCAAAACAATATGGCCAAAGGGAAAAAAACCACTTACTTGAGCACATATTATGTGAGATACTGGGAACTGTACATAGATAATCCTTTTTGATTTTTGGTTTTTTGGTTTTTTGAGACAGGGTCTTGCTATTAGTTCAGGTTGGTCTTGAACTTACTATATAGCCCAGGCTGGCCTCAAACTCATGGCCATCCTCCTGCCTCAGCCTCTGGAGTGCTGGGATTAAGGGCATACACCACCATGCCCGGCTCCTTTTTCTTTTTCAGTAGTAGAGATTGACCCCAGTAAACACTCCTCTGTGTCCCTGGACCTTTTTATTTTGAGACAAGATCTCACTAAGTTGCTTAGGCAATCCCAGAAGGAGCTGGGGAGTTATAGGTCTCCACACTGCACCAGGCTCGATAATCTTGAATCCCTAATTATCCCAGGGTTGTATGGTGCTGCCACCTGCCTAGCAACCTGAGGCCCTGGGTTGGATCCTGGGGGGAAGGGGAGGATGAGGACATCCACTCACCTGTCCCTCACAGGAGTAGTTGATTTTGAGGTAGTAAGGGAAGCCCAAATATTTCTGCAAGGAGAGGTGGGTGAAGTGTTCAGGGCCAAGTAGTAGAGGTGCAGGACCCTTCAGGTTCGTTTGAGCCTGGTTCCCTCACCCTCACCTCCTGTGGATCAATGGGCGAGTCCACCAGCATGCTGAATACGCTGTTCACTGTATCCACGGGCTCTTGATCATAGAAGCGGTCACTCACGTGGGTGTCACCTACCCTATCAAACTTGTTCAGAACAACCTTCCAGGTGCAGTCCTGGAAATCATCGCTTTCCCACACCCTCGACGATGCCACTGGTACCGCCAGAAGTGCCAAAAACACCCGAAGGAGTCGTACTCTCGGGCACACAGAACCGGTATGGATCATGGCTGGGCAGCGCACTATGTGCAGCTAGAACCTGGAGAACGTGCAAGTTTGATCTCTTGGATGACTCCTGAGCCTCGCCCCGCCCCTGCTCTGGCTCCTGACCCCGCCCCTGCTCTTGGCCCCGCCCCTGCTCTGGCTCCTAGCTCTGGCCCTGCTAAGACTCCAAGCCTTGCCCCGACTCCTGGTCGCTTCAATTAACCTCGCCCTGCCCCTGCTCCTAGTTCCGCCTCCTTTTGGTCCCCCCCCCCCCCCCCCCGCTTACTTTTATTTCTGGCTTTGACAGAGCCCCTCCTGTTTTCCCTCGTCCCGCTCTGACCCGTGATCACACTCTTTTTTTTTTTTTTGGTACCGGGGATAGAACTCGGGTCCTTTGCGCTCGTGATCACACTCTTGTTCCTGCGCCTGGCTCCCCGTTCACTCCTTGCTCCACCCCCCACCCCACCCCCCACTTCTCCTGGTGCCGTCCCTTTCTCCTCGCTCTGGCCCGGGCTTGGCACCGGGCGCTACCCTGCATTCCCCTCCAGCCGCTCGGGTCCGGATCCAGAGCCTTCTCCACGCCCGGCCCCTTCCCCTGTCTCCGCCCCCGTCTTGGGCCTGGGGGTTGCTTCTCCCTAGGCTTCCGCCCCTTGCCCCTCCCCCTCTCCTCGCCGGCCCCCAGCCTCCCTAGCTCCGGAGCGAGCTGCTCCCCAGGCTGCTCCGCACCTGGCCGCTTCTCCTTAGAGACCCTCTCCGAACCTCGGGACGTCTCATAAGAGACCCTTTCTTCGATTCTGTTTCTCTCCTCCCGTTGGGGTCTCTGCTCTCCCCAGTGTTTTTCCTCTCCCCAGGATCTCTTCTTGTCAAGGGTCTTCCCTTCCTCAACTCTCCCCTTCTCGTCAGGGACCCTTTCTTCGCCGGGGGGTTTCTGCTCACCCACGGGTCTCCTCTCCCTTCCGGATCTCTCCTCGCCCCGAGGTCTCTCTTCGCCTCGGGATCTCTCCTCCCTCCGTCATCTCTCCACTCCTTGGGATCTCTCCTCCCCTGGGGTTCTCTCCTCACGCCATGATCTCTCCTTCCCTCGGGGTCTCTCCTGGCCCTGTGGTCTCTCTTCGCCTCGAGAGCTCTCTCCTCGGGATCTCTCCTCGCCCCGGAATCTCTCTTCGCCCCTGGTTCTCTCCTCCCTTTGGAATCTCTTCTCACCAGGAGACCGCTCCTCTTTTCCTTTCTCGTAAGAAACCCTTTCTTTGTCCCAGGATCTCTCTTCGCCCCGCGATCTCTCCTAGCCCCTCGTTCTCTCCTCTCCTCAGGATCTCTCCCGGCCCCGCATCTCTCCTCCCCGCGGACTTGTCCCTGGATGCCATATCTCTCCTCGCCCCGCGCCCTCTCCTCGTTCCACGCTGACCTCTCGATCTTCAACTTCCCCCTCGAACCGCGACCCTTTTTCTCCCCACATTTTCTCACTTTCCCTTTGCAGGTCCAGATTATCCACCTGCCTCTTCCAACCCCGCCCCTACTCGCCCCACCCCGCTCACTTAGCCACGCCCAGCTCTTCCCTCCACCTTTCTCCTCTCCTTCCCTGCCTGTCTCTTTCCCTTGTCAGCCCGATCCCACTACTCTCTTCACCTTCCCGAGCTTTCCCCCACCCGGCCTCCCCCTTCCCCTCCCTCCCCCCAGGATGGCACTGCCCTCTTTTCCCGCCCCCAAGTACCAGTCACTGGTTAAAACCAATCAACCGTTGCTCGGCAGCGCCAGTCCCACCCCCTTTGCCCGGTCTCAAAATGGCCGCTCTCACGTCCACAACGGACTTCCACCTTTCCCGAGCCACGCCTGCGTGGGGCGTCTGTCTCCACAGTAACGCCACTCCGGAGGCTTGGAGGCGGGGCTCAAGCTCCCCGGCGTGGCGGCGAGGGAGGGTAGCAGCGGACGTAGAAGTGCTGGAGTTGACTGAAGTCTGTGTTAGAATTAAATCCTGCAAGGAGTTCCTAATGTCTCTTCTGACGGCGAGCACTGTCTTTACTTGTCCTTAAACTCAAAAATTCTGCTGAAAAAGTTAGGTCTCCTAGAGAATTTGTGGGAATGAATTTAATCTTCTTCTTAGTGATTTTTTTTCCCCATACTGGGGCGTAAACCTGGGTTTAACATACTAGGCAAGCTTAGTGCCGATATATGAGAGAGGGCGTGGCAAAGCTGGCTGGGGAAATAAGCAGGACCTGTCAATTACAAGATCCAAGTGTAGTGCTGGAGAAGTAGGTGGGGCCTATAAATTTCAAGATCCCAGGGCTGCCCCAGATAACTCTCAGGAAATTCTCACAGGCTCCCACGAGATCTGGACGGTATAAAGGAGAGGGGGCACCGGGAGGAACTTGCTAATATAACCTCCCACGATAGCCTTTCGTGGGTCTTCCAGACTCAGGGCGTGCTTTTGTTGTTACTTTCTCTCTCTCTCTCTCTTTGTTTGACCTGTGTTTGCTCTACAGAGCTCGTTCTTCCCTTAATTTTGTTTGTTTGTTTGTTTTTCGTTCTTGTTTTTGTACTGGGGATCAAACTCTTGCGCTTGCGCTTTCGAGGCAGGCAGACAGTGCTACTGAACTAAATCCCCAGCCCCACTCTTAATTTTATTTATTTATATTTTTTTTGGTGCCGGGGATCGAACTTGGGTCCTTGCGCTTGCAAAGCAGGCGGCAGAACCACTGAGCTAAATCCCCAGCCACCACCCTTAATTTTAAAATAAACTTTTGACACCATTTTTAGCTTGTCTCGTCCAATTCCTCTTCGAGGCAGAAGGACCTGGAATACTTTTGTTTGGTGAGCCATTTTCAAAGTAACTACTTGACAGCAGTGCCACACCCAACCCATAATCTGCAGTTTAACATTGTCCTTTAAAAATGTGGAGATGGGGCCCGGGGATTTAGCTCAGTGATTCCACCACCTGCGTCGAAAGTGCAAGGACCCGAGTTTGATCCCTGGTACCCAAAAAATAAAAATAAAAATAAATTAAAATGTGGAGATGGGCATCCATCTCATACAGGTATTATGGGAAGACTATGTGGCATAGGTAAAATTTAAATAAGTTTATTATTTTAATTTATTGTTAAAATAAATCAAGATTAGGACTGACAATTGTTGTCAGTTGTTGTTTTGGTACCCGAGTTCAAACTCGGGACCTTGCCCTTGCAAGAGGACTGACAGTTAAATGAAATGTATAGGAGGTCATTGGTTTGGACTGGGCTCCTGCACTTGGTCCAATTGGCCAAACCAAAATGTAGTCATTCATGCTGAAGTTCCTTGCCACCAAGTGGAAATTAAATTTATCTGATCTTCTGAGCAATCAGGAGAATTGTAACAGCCAAATCCCCATATAGGTCAGTTTTAGCTGGGAGTTCCCTCTGCTTTCAAGGAAAGTAACCCTGAAACAACCTGTCTTGTTTGTTTCAGTACTGGGGATTGAACCTAGGGCCTTCTCATTGAGCTACATCCCCAGCCCCCCCTCTTTTTTAAGAGTAGGAAAATTTATTTAAAAAAAAAAAAGAGGAAAATTTATTGAGAGAAAGCTTCTAAGAGAGACACCGTGGTACCCACAAAAACTACAACTACATTAATTTTTTTTTTTTTTTGGTACTGGGGATTGAACTTGGGACCTTCTGCTTTCGAGGCAGGTGCCAGAACCACTGAGCTAAATCCCCGGCCCTCAGATTTCAATTTTTTAAGAAATGTCATCACAGGAGCTAAAACTTGGGTCTATGGTTATGATCCAGAGACCAAGGTTCAGATTCTTAATGGAAATCAGCAAGTTCTTCTTGTGAAAAAAGAATGTCAGTCAAGATTCAACATCAATATGATGCTGATTGTGTTTTTGCCCTTGATGGAATTGTGCAAACAAGTTTGCACCCAGAAATACTATGGTGAACTCTGAATATTACAAAGGTATATTATTTAAGAAACAATGTTTATAAAAAATGGTCTGGGTAAAGGGTTTTATCCTCCACATGTTACACATCACTTCTGGTACAGAAATTTCTATCCTAAAAAAAAGATATTACAGTGTGTCCTCATTCACCTTAATCACCAGATCTGGTACCATGTGATTTCTGACTTTTCCCCAAAGTCACAATGACCCTGACAGGCAAACATTTTCAATCAATTCAGGACATCAAGGGAGACACAACGCGACTAGGCACGCAGGAAAGAGGACATGCAGAACTGCTTCAGAAAGTGGTAAGACTGATAAGTGCGTTTAAAGTGAGGAGCAATATTTTGAGAGCGATTAATAACAATTTCTTTTACTGAAATACATTTTTTAAAAAATTAAATATTCATTTCATTTTTCAATCATACCTCATATGGTTTTCTGCCATTACACAGACTGGCTTTTCATTTTGCTGTTTCTTCTGCTTTATAGAAACATTTTTGTAGTCCAAACTATTTATTATTGCTTTTGTTTTGTTTTATTTGTTTGGGTTTTTTTTTTTTTTTGGTACTGGGGATCGAACTCGGGACCTTGCACTTGTGAGGCAGGTGGTGGAACCACTGAGCTAAATCCCCGGCCCTGTTGCCTATGTTTTTGGTGTCATATCCAAAAACTATTTGCCAAGACCAAAGTCAAGGAGCTTTCTTTCTGTTTTCAGTAATCTTTATGGATTCATGTCTGACATTTAAGTATTTAATTCATTTTGAAATGTTTTTTCTTTATAGTATGAGTCCATGTTCATTATTCTGTATGTGTATATTGAGATTTCTCAACACCATTTATTCAAGGTTATTTTTCCTTAATATATATTCTTGGCACCTGTTATAATTAGTTGATTAAACATGTGTAAATTAATTTCTGTGCTATTTGTTCCACTGATCAATATTTTTATACCAGTATCATGCTATCTTGGTTAATAAAGCTTTGAATAATGCTTGAAATTGTGAAGTGTGATGCCTCCAGGTCTGCTCTTCCTCAGAATTATGCTAGCTATTCAGTCTTTTTAGGATTATTTTTTCCATATTTATGAAAATGCCGTTGGAATTCTCATATACTATAGATTGCTTTAAGTAGTATGGATATTTTAACAATATTAAGTTTCTAATTCATGAACATAGGGTATTTTTCATTTGGACTATAAAGTTCTTTCATCATTGTCTTATAGTTGTCAATGTCTTATAGTTTTCCCTTCAATACATTTTTCCGAAGTATTTTATTCTTTTTGATACTATTGCAAATAAGGTTGTTTTATTTCTTTTTCAGATAGTTCATTATTAGTGAATTAAAATGCTACAGATTTAATGTAGATTTAATATCCTGCAACTTCACCAAAATTATTAATTTCTTCTTATAGTTTGGGGCAGAACTTTTAGATTTTTCTATATATAAGATCATGATATGGCAAAGAGTTTCATTTCTTCATTTCTAATATGGATGTCATTTGTTTCTTTTTCTTGTCCAACTGCTTCCACTAGAGCCTGCAGTAATATGATTAGTAGAAGTAGCAGTTGTGGGGATTCTCGCTTTGTTTCCGCTTTTCACTGTTGAGTGATATTGACTGAGAGCATGTCATCTATCGCCTTTATGATGTTGACATGTTGTTCTTTCTGTAACTGATTTGTTGGAGAGTCTATCATGAAACAATGTTGACTTTTGTCAAATGCTTTTTGTATCTGTTAAGATGATGATTTTTATCCTTCATTCTGTTAATGGACTATATCACAATTATCAATTTGCATATATTGAATTAGCCTTGCATTGTAGGGATAAATCCCATTTGATGGCATAGCTTCTGAACCCTTTAATGTACTGTTGAATTTATTTCATTAATATTTTTTGTCTATGGTCATTAGAAATTGGCCTGAAATCTTGTCTTACACTGTCCTTAACAGGCTTTTGGTATTAGAGTAGTATTGGCTTTCCAAATTAGTTTGGGTAGGTGTATTGGCACGTGCCTATAATTCCATCACTCTGAGAGGCTAGGGAAGGAGGATCACAAATTGCAGCTTAGCCTGGGCAACTTCGTGAGATTCTGGATTCAATCCCTAGTTGTGAGATCCTGGATTCAATCCCTAGTCCCACAAAAAAAGAAAGAAAAGAAAAGAAAAGAAAAGAAAAGAAAAGAGAAAAGAGGAGAAGAGAGAAGAGAAGAGAAGAGAAGAGAAAAGAAAAGAAATAAGGTAGCTTGAAAGTGTTCCATCCTCTTCAATTATTTGGAAGAGCCTGAGATAGGCTGGGATCTATTATGAAGAATGTTTACAGTGATTAAGAAGACTGTGTGGTGGCTATTGGTATGTTTCATGTACATGTGTTAAGCCACTTGGTCTAAAGTATAGTTCTTGTTCAATGTTCCTTGACTTTCTGCCAGGATGGTCTATGCTTTATCCCTGAATACAGCTCTCATTTTTTTACTCCTTTGGCTTCTCATGATGTTGGTGCATTTAAAATGTGTCCCACCACTCTCTCTTTTGTTTTCTAATTGAGTTCTTTTGAAATCCTACCTAATCTTCAGTGTCCATCAGATATGCTATATCCTTGAGAAACTTTTCTCAATATTCCCACTTTATTTCTTTTATAACCCTTAATGCCCATATTTGGTTTTCAATTTCTTAAGGTATAAAGAGTATGCCTTTTACAATATTTGTCTCACCCCATATTGTTAGTAGTTTTTAAG